TCTCTCGGCTAGCTGTCCTTGAGTGTGAGTCACACAAGCTGCCATGAGCGAGCGTCTCTGTCCCAGGAGAAGAATAACAACAAGGAAGAGAAGCATCTCCCTCCTCAGACCAAAAGTAGTAGAAACCACATCTTTCAGGATTCCTGAGATACACAGTCATTGAGCGGGGAGAGTGGCAGTATCAACCAGCTGAACAGGGTCAGTAGGCCTGACAGCAGCTTAAACCAGATCACCACCAAATTCTGGCTCAGTATACCCCAGTAATATAGACAGCTCAGTATACCCTGAGCTGTCTACACTCTGCCTGGTCCCTTACTTCACATGACTCAGACCATGAAGGAGGCCTTCTTTCACAGTCCACAGCACTGAGGCCAGCCTCTGACATGCCAGGGCAGTTTACCCTCTGCGAAAGGACAGCCCTGTGTAGATTTGATAGCTTAAGTTAGGTAGGGTTTCTGTTGAAGTCACACACAGGTGGTGAGCTGCATGTTGGCCTTCAGTCTATATTTGAAGTACCAGGCAGACAGGCAGTGGTCAGTGGGCCTGTGATGCTGCAACACAGCACTTTCAAAGGGCTTCAGAGCAATCCTTTATAGAATTCTTTTGGGAGGGTATCAGATCCATGTCAGAACATTGTATGAGAAGTCTCATCAGTGTTGTACCCCAGTGTCCAATTCAGACCAGTATCCAATCTGCTAATTAGCCACTCTACTTTATATAAAGGAACATTTTAAAATACGGGATATATCCATTTTTTTAAAAAAATCAATATACTAGTGAAAGTAAATAAAACATTTCCCAGTCACTTCTATTTCTTCTTTTGAGAAATCTATTTAGTTTCAAGCTTTGTAGGTTGTCTTTAGGCAGATGTTTTAATTTTTTCTATATTCTAAATACCCATCCTGTCAGCTACAAAGCTGATAAAGGTTGTTTCCCTTTATCAATTTTGTCAGAGGTTGCCTTTTCCATCAATTAACAGTTTTCTTTTGCAGTACGTAAGTTTTTATTTTTTAATTTTAATTTAATTTTTTAATTTAATATTTGTTGATTATTGCTCCTGTTTCCTGCATGATCCTACCCAAGCTTATATGCTGTTTTTCCCCCTACTTCTCCTTCTAAGTTTCAGGTTTAGCATTGAAGTCTTTGATCTACTCAAAAAAATGTTTGTGTGTGTGCCAAGTGGGACATAAGGATCAAGTTTCATTCTTCTACAAACATATGTTCTACTTTCCAGGACCATTTGTTGAAGATGTGAAGATGCTCCATTCTCCACCATGTATTTCTGGCCTCTGTCAAAAATCACCTAGCCATAGGTCTGGAGACTTCTGTTTGGGTCCTCAATTCTATTCACGCTGTGTGTGCGTGCATGCGTGTGTGTGTGTGTGCGCGTGTGTGTGTGTGTGCGCGCGCGTGCCAGTATCACCATGTTTTTACCACACTCTGTAATATACAATACTCTGTGTTTTAAATTTTCAGTTTGGTAGAAAATGGCCTTAATTCTTCTCCTATGAGAAATTCACCAGTTGTATATTGTATAATGCAATTCTGGAGAGTAAATGCAAGAAAACCCCACATGTGTGTGGAGCACAGTTCTGGTTTGCAGTCTTGTTGCTGTGAAAAATACCATGACCAAACTCCAGGCTTCCGTCATGTTCTGTAACTTTTTCAATCCTGAAGCTTTCATGCCTTCAAATACAGTTCCATGTGGGCACTCCTTAAACATTTTCAGCCTCGGCTGCCAGCTAGAGATGAAGCCTTGGATCTGATGGACGAAGCTTTGGGGTGCTAACCCTGAGGAAATATTTTCCTATGCAGATTTTACCTCAGGGATGCTGATATGTCCTTAATCCCAGATGAGTTTTTGACCCAGCCAGACCAGCATCCCATAATGTCCTGATAGAGCACAAAAACTTTCACTTCAGTGGCACTCAGTCTGTTAATCACAGATGATTCCCTGAACCCAGTGTAACCAACCAGCACAAAACATTGGACAAAATATCCCAAGAATGGCTCTAGTCCAGTCTCAAGTCCTTGCTCCTTCTAAATCACCACAAGCCAGACCTCAACAATCCACATTTTTCTCAGCATTATTGGCCAAACTCCCAAAGCAACAGTTCATAAATTGTATTTCTAGATTAAAGCTCCAAAATCCTCCATAACCTTTCAACAAAACAGTGCAAAGGCTTGGTGAACATGGCCAAGTTCACCATAGCTGCATTCCTATTTCCCTGGTACCAATTTGTTTTAATTTCATCTCTATTGCTCTAACAAACACCATAATCCAAAGAAACTTAAGGGAGGGAAGGGTTAACTTAATCTTTTACTTCCAGGACACAGACTATCACTGAGGGAATTCAAGACAGGAATCCGAAGCACAAAACTTGGAGCAACACTGCTAACTTCCTCATGCACTGGCTCATGGCTCACTAGCTTTCTTATCCCACCCAGGGCCACCTGCCTCAGGTTGGTATTGCCCACAGTAGGCTATACATTCCTACATCTATTAATAATCAAGAATTCCCCACAGACATGCCCACAGGAAAGTCTGATCTAGATAACTATGCAATTGGAGTTCTCTTTTAAAATGACTCTAGGCTGTATTAGGCTAAAAAGTAAAGAAGCTAATGTGGGCAGCGATTTACAAGAGACCTACTCTGTGCGAGGCTCCAGGCTTCTCTACTTCCAAATGAGTAATCTCTGTGTTTTTGGAAGTCACATAATTATCCTAAGCCCAGAACCCCTGGCCTAGTGACAAAGGTTAGATTTCCCTACTTTGGACTATAGAATGGGGATGCTCAACATCCCCCACAAACCATTTTGGGACAGGCCTCAAGTTCAGTGCATGAGGAACGAAATAACTAGAAATGAAAAGACATAGTCCCTCATAGTACCTCATCACTGCATTTATTTATTTTTTAAGCTATTGTCATATTTACTAGGCAGACCCTTCCCACTCTTCTCTGTTTGGCCCCAAAATGTCCACTCCTGGTGTTTTTGTTTTATTTTGTTTGAAGTGTGTTCTCCCTCTCCACGACTGTGCAGTACACCTGCTCTGTATGACCTGGGCACAGCCCCCTCTAGGATTCTGACTTGTTAAAGAGGCCAGGGATGTTGTCTCTCACTAGTTCCTTAAATCTAAGCCCGTGGTTCAACCCTTGTTCCTTCTCAGTTTCATCCTGTTGTTTCTGTGAGATCCTCTGTCCCGCAGCAGCTGGTCCTGTCTGTGTGGGGATCCTGGGGATGAGGAAGGCTAGGACCACTCAAGGCAGGACCAGGGACAGGGCCTGAGGCTTTAGTGGGGCTGTTCTGCTCTCTCCACACTGAGGCCAGAACTCCTTAAAATGGCCAAGGAGAGTGATAAGCATCTGCAGTATGGAATCCTGGATGGAGTCTTTTAGTCATATCTTAGGTCTGGTTCATCTCTCCTAATGGTTCCAAGTCCTCTCCTGCCCATCTCTGCTCTCCTCATCACTGCATTTATGTAATTCTATATAGGTGACAGGAAGGACAATGCAAGGAGAAATACAGATCGCATTCTCAAAATAGCCTTCATAGACACATCAGCTGAGCACTAAGAGAAATTTGCTTATTGTATGTAGATGGCCCAGGCTCCCAGTCTTCCTTCGTACTTTGTTGTGGTTGCTTTCAATCGTTCATACATATTCCCTCACTTTTCGTTCCTGCCTGTGCTCCCCTCTTCACAGCAGTGAGTACATAATCCTGCCTCTCCTCATGTTCCATGGTGTGTTTTGTGCAAGCCACCAGTGGTAGAGCCCCATATTCCGGAGTGATGACTCAGCAGCAGCAGCAGCAGCAGCAGCAGCAGCAGCAGCAGCAGGTGGCTCTTCTTCCAGTGCCCTGCCTCTTGCTCCCCTGATGGAAGATAAAAGGGCCTGCTCTTGACACATACTGTCAAGCCCTTGCCTATCCTTCCTGTGCTGCAATAAGGAAGGTAAGGGAGGGTAACTTTCAAAGAAATATTATTCTTGGAATGAATAGATTCTAATGTAAAGACTTATATACACACACACACAGAGTTGAGAACTAGCAAATTTAGCATGAGCAGAAAAAAAAAATCATTCAAATGTTCATGCATTTTGTAATCACCATCATAAACCGGTGAGCAGTTTTGGAGCAGGCAGAAAGCCAGCATTCCCAGGCTATCAGGGCTTTGCTCAGACAAGCTGATCTACAAAGTTCTGATCTGCACTGCTGAAGAGTACCCAGTGCTGAGTCATAAATGTCTCTCTTCTAGTGGCAAGAGATGTGAAGTTGGCTGGGAATAGGACATTTGGCAATATTTGTAAAGAAACCAAATCTGCCATATAAAAGCTATGAAAGCTCTGTCTTAGCTAACTGAAACTGTAATCCTTTTGGTTTCGGTGCTCCCTCTGTCCTTGCTGCCAGAGAGCATGGTTTCTCAGAGTACACTCAGGTCCCTACTCTTACTTTTTTGTCTATAAATCATTTCTACATCCTCTGACATCACTCTAATTCCCATATATTGTCTTGGACAATAGGAGAAAACAAAAATATTTATCTGACACAGATCAAATACTCTGTTTATGGGACTAAAGAGATGGAGTGGCAGTTGAGAGCACATAGTTGCCAAGAGAGGAGCCACGTTTGATTTCAAGTACCAACAGCCTGCAGCTTGAGGTGTAGAGACCAACACCTCTGGGCTGCAAGTCATGAGCATCCACATCCACATGCCCATATAACACACAGAGACACACAAAAAATACACATAATTAAATATTTTAAAAGCTGAAAAACAAACAAACCTAGAAACTCACATGTTCCCAAGAAACACTCCTATATTTTACATGCTCGTGTACACACACACACACACACACACACACACACACACACACACACACTCTCCTGCCACTCAAATGGGGGAGACAAAATAGGGACTTGGAGGTAGAACTCAAAAAGACTTTTGCAAAAATAACTTGAGTAGATTTAAGGTGGCTTTTCCTCCTGGAATCAATAATAAGCCACAGGAAATTTTTTTTTCAAAAAATTATATTTTACTGATTTTCAGCAATAAAACTTTTTCATGAAAAACACTATGATTGTTTATCTTTTTCATTGTCAAGTTATTAAATCTGATAAAAATAATCATGTACTAAGTGAAGAAACAGAACGAGGCATACAACAAAGGCATCTGTGTGCTTTTTCATGTCGCCATGAGCAGTGTTAGCAATTCAATCTCAGAGGTACTCAAATTTTCTGTTACCGTATTGAAGACTTTCAGTCAAATAAGTAACACTGCTGAAATGAAGAAATATTTCCAGTATACACTGGATAGTACTGATAAATCAAGGAATCCGTCTCCTCAATTTTGTTCTCAAAGTGGTGCTTGTTTTTCCGAGCTGCAAGAGAAAATAATATTCATTTTTAAAAAGATTGGTTGACAAGCTTTCCAAGAGACTATTTTATGGTAGTTCTTCCTGAGATCAGAAGTATTCACTGGGGAACCATGAGCAAGAAGAGACATGCCTCAAGAATACCCTCCTCAGGACAACAGTGCCAATGTTAGCACAGTTGCTGTTGTTACAACAGCTCCTTAACCCCAGTGTAACTCATTACACGGCTAAGTATGCACAAGACTGGATGCGGTCCAGGGAAAGTAGAGACAGGACATGTAGCCATCACTGGAGAAGCACGGGCTAGCAGACATGCAGAATTCAGTGGTGGACACTCGCCATAGGACTCCTGCCCTGGGACGGTGTATGAGGTAAAAGCTGAGGAAACTTACGATGCCAGTGGAGCAGACAAGGAGGGATCGTTTGACCCAGGAAGCCAGTGAGAACTCTGTACACGGCTGAGAACTAAGATCCCACACTAAGGTCAAAGTAAGGCCCTCTGATGTTTTGAAAGAGATTGTTGGCAGGTACAGAGCCAACTACCACAAGATGAAAGCCTCAGGAAAGCCTGCTCTGCCCACTGCAGCTACTCACACCCACCACAGGGAGAATGCTCCTTAGGACCAACATTACGTCTGGGATGGCTTTGTGTTTAAAACTCATTTGTTTTTTGTTGTTGTTTTGTTTTTAGGAATTCCCCCATTCAACTATGTATAATTCTAGACACAAATGAACCAGGTAGGAGGTTGGTGGCTTCCTAATGAGCAATAAAGTAGAGAAAAAAAAAAACATAAGGCAAGCTGGATCTAAGATAAACATGGGGCTCATCAAGTCATCAATTGGCCCCACCTCACCTAAACGATGCTGTCCCTTGCATGCTGCCTCTACTGCTCTCATCCATATCACTCAACTATGATATAAACACCTATGCCCAAACTATGTAACCACAATGCAAAATAGCATGAAAATCTGTGTTCTCAGGACCAAGCAGACAAAACTTAATAACTTTTCTCCAGTATGCCAAAGCCTGCAGACAGACAATTATAAAGCTACAGACTATGATAGGATAGAATTAAATTTATATCACTGTCTTGGGAAAAAAAAACATATAATGCTAAAAGGTTGTTATAATTACATCATTGTTCTTAAAAATGAAAATTGAAAGTACTTAAGAAAAAAGAAGAAAGAACTCCACATTCTTTAAATTACTGATCAAGAATTTGGTCCAGTGGATCACAGATGACTCTGTTAACTAATTGCTCTGAAATTTTCTTGAATACTAATATACTCCATTTCAAGGATTTAACATTATTTAGTATTTTCCAGTTAAATCTATAGACCTTATTGAAGTCACAGGATAAAAAATTATACAGGAGCCAAGAGCAGGGTATGCAGTCTCCTTCAGAAGTCCTGATAGAGTAATGAGATCATACAGCCATATATTACCTTCAGAAACAAAAAAATCTGCCAAGTAAAATGCAGTCTTCACAGCATTTGGTTCATGGGAAATGCCGCTCAATGCCTTCCACTCATAGGGTGCTTTCTCAGGATGCCACTGCACAGCATAGATTGGATACTTAACTCCTGTGTGGAAAGCACACACCAGTAAGCACAGAATGGTTTACAGTGATGTTCCTACATTGTTTCATGCCATGAAGTTTCACTGTGCCACGTAAAACGTGTTAGAACTCACCAAAATCAGAAAATATATAAGTTGTACATATTCTCTCACACAAAGAAGTGCTGACAGTCAGTGTTATAGTGTATCCCACTGACTTGCACTCTCTAGCAATTTGAATGTGAGTTGCTTTTCTAGGAAATTAAAGTAACAGAAGAAGAGGGAGGATGAAAAAAGAAGGAGGAGAAGGAGGAGAAGGAAGAAGACGACAAAGGAGAAGAAGATGAAGAAGGAGAAGACAGAGAAAGAAAAAAGATGAAGGAGAAGAAGATGAAGAAGAGAAGAAGACAAAGAAGGAGAAGAAGCCGCCCACTGCCGCCTTGGCATCCACTCAGCAGGAGAGAAAATGAGCATCTCTCCTGGCTGCGGCTCTAAGCTAAGGCCACCCCCTTGCTAAGTACACATTCCACCACTGATCTCTATCCTCAGGCCTGACTGCACACTTAGCTACTGACACTCATGTCTGTACCTGTATTCTACCTCTCTTCATACATGTTCTCACCCCGTAACGACTTATAAAAGTGAAAACAAATAATGCAAGCATTTTTATATTTGCCAGTCTGTCTCAGCCTATGGAATGACTTGTTATTTTGAGGCAATATCTGTTAAAATAAATTTTAGCAGTTTAAAAACATTTGTACTCTTGGTGATTATAATTCAATTATTTTTAGAACTCCTGGCTATTATATATACTCTTAGCTAGATAGAAATGAATTAATCCCTAAGATTAGATTCTCACGAATCTGACCAATGTGCTGTGCTTTAGGAGTATTGCTCAGATGTGGATGTTGAAAAGTTCATTCCTAAATCATGTTAATGGTATATGGAGGTGGAACCTTAAGGAATTATGCTTAGAAGAGGTTGGAAGGGTGAGGCCATGACAATATCAGTGACTCTGTAAGAAGGAAAACTGACCTAGCTTCTCTTTCTGTTTAGGCATTTGACATTCAGTGATGATGTATGTACGTATGGATATATATATATATATGTGTGTGTGTGTGTGTGTGTATGTGTATGTATTTATGGATACTTATATATTCAGAAGGACCTCATCAGATGCTAACATTATGTCCCAGGACCTGCCAACCTCCAGGACAGTGACATTAATGACAACAGCAACATAAACAGACTAAGTCAAAGTGACATGGCCAATCTCCAAGTAACAATCTAGGACTCTATCCTCCCAGGCTGCTCTCTCCAGCCTCACCAACCAAAGTCCACCTGGCATAGGAGCAGAGAAGGTACATTGTGTGTCTGGGTCCCTTTCCTGTTTCCAGCTCCTCCAAATACTCCATCAGCCTTTGCTCCTAAATGGTCTGCAGCCATCCAGTCATAGATGTTCTGAGAGACAGAACATAAAGTGTGTAAAATGATACCTCTTGAGGAGTCTGGGGGACTCATTTACTGAATAAACATAAGAACAATATGATTCCTGATTACCCATCACATACACTGAACCATCAAGTGTGACTGACATTTACAAATCCCCTCTTCAGTGCAACAGCTACTGTAAGAAATTGTCCATCTCCATAATATTTGCTTCAAGGCTGTCTTTGTAGCATGTTTTGAAAAACCATAGAAATGGAAACTATATATAAATTATTTAGGAGGAAGCATTGTGGTGCACACCTGAGATCACAGAGCTCTGCAAGCTGAAACCGGAAGACTGTTAAGGCTTGAGGCCAGCCTGTAACAGTGAGTTTCTAGCCAGCCTACCCCATAGAGGGAAAGTGTCTCAAGAAAAAAAAATGCAGGATATATTATATTTTGTTGTGGTTTTTTTTAACTCAAAATTGTTTGCCAAAGTCCATTCAGAATGAAGAACACAGTATACGCGATGACTTGAAGAACTGCATAGTGTTCCATCATAGGATTTACTCCTTGGACTGTCATGCATTTGGATTCCTTTTAACAGCCTCCCTTTTTCTAATGGGAACAATTATATGAACATTTCTATGTATGTGAATGGGTTTCGTTGGGTTTTGAACGTACTGTTTTTTGTTTTATTTTGGTTTTTGTTTATGTGGCCCTGTCCTAGCTAACCCTTGCCTCTCACATGTTAATATTAAGGGTGTGTACCATCACATCCAGCTCTGTGAAGGCATTTTTAAATATTGGGACTGAACTGCTGGATGGCAGGACTGGAAAATACTCAGCTTCACTAATAAAAGTTAGCCTGCTTCAGGCTCTCTGACTGTAATCTTAAACACGTGAATGTGTCCTGTGCAACGGCCTGGGTGGCACTTGTCATCATCGTCAGTCTTACTTTCGTCAGTCTTGATGTCTGGTGGTTTCTTTCTTGTGCTTCCACCAGCATTCTACTAGTTGGTAATTACACCGATAGCTTCCCTCACAAAGCCATGTGTGGACAACACACTGATGACCATTCTCCAACGCACCCATTCAGAGCTCTTAGCTATTTATAAGAGGCTATTATTTAAATTCCTTGTTCATAAAGTTTACTTCTTATGAGATAAACACAGAGTCTTTGGCAGATACATGCATTTTAAGTATATATTTCTCTCTCATTTTTAATATTTGTTTAGAATTTTTAATGTAAGGCCATTTATCCAAAGAGACAAACCACAAGATGAAAATGAAGGCAACAGAAAAATTCAGCTTCTCACAACCAAAACGATTATCCTTAAGAAATAATTTAGAAAAGTGTTGTACAAGATATGTTGCAGATTTGCATCCCATTAATCAAGACTATGAATTCATAATTGTGAACAAACACTTTTAAAATGAGACTTAAAACCCATTTTTTTCAGTGTATATGTATGGTTTATTCCATACAGGTTAATTCAACTAGGCCATTTAATGTCATATCACCTCATATTTCTTTAAGTTTCATTCAACATTACTTAGTACTGAATACATATGAAATGAACGACAGTAAATAGCAGCAAAGGACTGGGGAGGGCCAGAGATAAGGAGAAGCTTGTCATTCACACTGTGATTGTTCTGCACATTGAAGAAAGATAACTTACACTTCTAGACCCTCAAGACATCCCTTTCCAAGAACCATAGTAAACTCAATATGCCAGGCAGACACTTCCTCACCCCTAAACAAATCGATGACTCACATAAAAACTAAACTTATGGCAGCAAAGACTTAAGTGGTGATAGAGGTCTGTAAACTGTACTCAGTCTCATTTCTGGACCCCAGAGTAAAAGAAGCAGGGCTCCCAATATCTCAGCAGTGCTTCTCGTGCAAATAATCCTTCGTTTTGTTTGGTAAAGGCAGTTTCTGACTTAAGCCTATTCTGGTGTACTGACGTATAACAAAGTGACACAGACACTGCAGAGAGCACCTACATGAACCGTGACACTGGACTGGGAAGTGTGACTGGATAAGTCACAGATCTAGGCAACCCAAACCTTGAATAACAAAATACTCCATTTTCAGAGTCCCTGATTAAATGCTCAACAAAGTCAACTATAGATGTATGCCCTTCCACATCGGGCTGTTTATAAAAGCTGAGTGCTCAATGCTAGTGTGAAATGTTTTACCATGAGAGTGGAAGCTCAGGCTTAAAATGTCATCAGTACTATCCCAAACAAGGAAAGACCATCTGGCATGTTCGCCAGCTTCCCTCTACCTCGCAGCGTGGGATGAGGCCATACCACCCCTGTTTTGCAAGCTTCTTCAGCTCCTCCGTAGGGTCACTATTTTGCACTGAGTGCAACCCAGGTGCAGAGTTAGGGTAGAAACTCAAACGACAGTGAATGCTTCCAGTTATGTCCAGCCAGAGAGGCTACAGAAGTTCCTTCACATTGGGTTACTCTGCATTGGAGAGGTGAGGGGAGGGACGTCATCTTGACCTGATTTAGGGCTCTGCAGCATGACTCTGTCATGCCAATCAACAAGCTGTTCACCAATGAATCCACAAGGATCTCTGGGCCTACAACCATGTCCTAGTCCACCTGACTGTCATCTACAGAGAGGCACCATTAGTCCCTCCCAGAGGGAGGCAACACCTCCATGGAAAAGATGTATCCAGGTAGCAGCTGTGTGGCCCTTCCAGAGTCAGATAACTACAGGCACATGCTCCTCCACGGAGGAGGAGGTCCCTGGGTGAGCAGGACTCAGGGAGCGCCTCTGGCTGCAGCTCCCTGGGCAGCGGCAGCCTCCTGGGTGGCAGGCCATACAGATCCTTGAGTTTCAGCTCATGAAGCTCCTTTACCAAACGGGGGCCTGGGCTGGCAGTACACACCAGCACCTTCACCCATATCCGTCTTGAGGCACACCTCCTCAGGGCAGAGGCCAGGAGGTGGGGCTGCAGGGGGAGGCTGTGCAGTGTTGTGGAACGGAAGGGCCTGGAGCATGCACAACCTTGAGGCAGCCAGGCGCTAAAGCCCAGGGGGTGTCTTCATCTGTGGGGGCAGTGTCGCCCTTACCCCTCTGCCTGGAGGACAACTGCCTCTTTAAGGAGCCCATTAGGCTCTCTCACCTTTGGGCCTGTTCTCCCCTTTCTCGCCCTCACTGCCAACGTCACAGCTGACCGTGTCTTTGCCATGGCAGCTCCTGAAGGAGTCTTTCACAAAGTCATCTACCAGTGAGGGATTGGGATTGACCCATCATAAACTCAGTTTTGTCTTTGCTTTTAATCAGGCTGAAAGATTTCCTGGAGGTTTTCAAACTGATTTTCTTCATTGTGACTAGTTACAAATGTCACCTAATCCAAATGGTCAATTCTCTCTGGAGCAGCTATCCCCAAACATTGAGAAGGTCTGTGATGCCTCATGAGGAAACTCTGCCTGGCTTCATTTAACCTCTGGAGCTACAGACAAATGTTATGGTGGTATTTTCTCAATTTAGAGTTCCTCTTCCCATGTAACTGTAGCTTGTGTCCAGCTGACAAAAATCTGACCAGCATACTACTACTCCCCCATACAAAAAGAAAACCTCTGCCTTTGTACAGAGATAGTTTAACACAAGTTCACAATTAAATACAATCTCATGCTGTAGAGATGCAGGAATCTACATCTACAATATGACCAAGTCCACCTGTTGAAAAGCTTCAGGATAGGGTCTACTGATCACTGTTGGCCACTAAGGCCTTCAGTGACATCTTATAGTACATCATTTCTTTCTTCTCTTCTCTAATGCCAAGAGCTGCTCACAGCCATTGGCTCTGCTTCCTCCCAGCAGCAATGGACTGCATGCTTGTCCCTCCTCCTTCCTCTCCTTTTTCCTCCTCTTCCTCCTCCCTGAAATAGCTGAATTTTGTGCAGAGCTGACTGTTGTTTCTCCAAGTTCACACTTGTGGCACTCTTCTTCCTTGTATGTTAGTTATCTGGGACATGAACCATCCACATTTCATCAAACCTCATCCATTGAAATATCCTCAACGGCAATGAGTTTTGCCCTTTCCAAGACAAGTATTTTAATTTGCTTCTACCATGCACATCTGTACTACCAGAAGACACCAAGAAGCCAACATTTCAACCTGCCCTCTGTCCACATTCCCAGCTAGGATAATGTAGGTGACACTAGACCATCTTGTTACTATGAGTGCTTAAGGTTCTCTCCTCCCACCGTCCTCACCCTATGCCTTCAGCATGCTCAGTTCTTCTTGAAGTTCAGTTCTTCAGCCTTCAATTCTATGCCTTCAATTCTTCTTGAAGTTCCATGGTCAGGACTCCAGGCATCTTTCAAGCTTAGCTTTGCATGGCAAGCAGAGCCTGCAGTCCTGTTCCATGCTGCCCTTTCCATACACGGCCTTTGTCCCTGGTTCTGAACTGACAATAATGCTGCTTTCAACACTCAGACTTTCAAGCTTTAATGTGCTTATTTCCTTGCCACCTATTTAGAAAGCTGTTTCCTCCATCAACCCATCTTTCATAATTGTCTGACAAACTAGTCAAGGTGCTTATTCTGGGATAACTCTAGAAATGGAGTGGCTTTCTCCATCTAGTTCTTCATCCTCACCCCAGTTCCAAAAACTAACCACCTAAGTCTAAACAGATGAGGAATGTTGACATTCCAAATGTGTAGTCTGTCTTCACAAACAACCTAACTTCTGTCTTTGAGCTACAAAGTCACATGACTTCATTCACAAGAAAAAAGGCCTATAAAATTTAAATGAAAAATATCCGTTTAGATGCTCTACAGCTGCACATACCTTCCATGGATGAGATGAACTCAGTCTTGCCATCTGTGTTTGTTGTTAACACATTGAAAAACGAACTTAGCTTTTCATTTTCTGTAAAGTTCTAAAATATGAAAATAAAACAGAGGGTTCAATTTGGTAGTTATCCTAAATGTATTCTTCTCACCAATGAGGTACTGATTGTATACTCATGTGATACCTTCACAGAGAGGCTCCATTTGTGAAAATTTGCAGTCAGAGGTTCTACTGCTAATGACAGCAATAAGTCAGCAGGAAAATTCCGGAACATTCTGCTCTGTAATGCATCTAAAATAATTTAAGCATAGAGAAATAACTTAAACATATAAAAAAAAAAAACCACTAAATCACTTACCTTTCGCCAAACAACACAATTATTAAGACACAATCAAGATGAGGAAGGACAGAAAATCTGAACTCTGGCTCCTCAGAAACCACTGAAAATTAAGACTCCCCAAATGTATGTGTTCTGTTCTCAGAAAAGGACCTCACATCTCCACTGTATTTTCAAAGGTATACAGGACTTAAAAGGCGAGGACACTGACAGCAGATTAACCAAAATAAAAGGCCATGTGGGAACCTACTACTTTGTAAGCCAACTAAAACTTATAAGTTAAGGTGCTGGAAAGATGGCTCAGCAGTTAAGAGCACTTGCTGCTTTTTTGAAGAGGACTCAAGTTCAATTTCTAACACCTATGTCCAGTACCTCACAACCACTTGTAACTCCAGCTCCAGGGAATCCTACTCCCTTTTTAGTACACACACACACACACACACACACACACACACACAAATACAAATCTTCTTTTAAAAGATAGATAGACAGATACACAGACAGACAGACAGACAGACAGAGACTCTGCATGACTAGATAATGCTGCTCCTATAAATCCCTGTGCTGATGTGGGACACAGCCTTATGAGTGGCTGGTCTGGGAGACAAATGAGACTCTTAAAACAATATAAGCTCTTGCCATTCCTCTTGGTTGCCCAACAGAACTAGATGACACGACCCTACTGCAGAGAATACCACACAACATGTTGGATTCAAACTCTAAAGAAATCCAGCTGAAAATGACATAGATACTTCCTCTATGGTGGACAGCTTGCATACTGCCAGGAAGTGCTATGCTAGTTGCTGAGGGAGAAAAGGCAGCAATGGTCTCAACCAGGCGTGAACCCTACAAACTACAATGCCAGCCTGCAAGCAAGAGGTGCATCTTAGTGGCATGGTCATTATGAGAGTAAAGCAACTCCTCTCAGATTAGATTTGAGACACTCTTCTCATGAGAGAATATGCCTGGGACTATGAAACCCATAACACACACACACAATAAAAATGCACCTAACATAATTTAAGCACAGAGAAATGACTTAAACACATGAAAAAATAGAAGCCACAAAGGCATTTACCTGCAGCTAAATAGCAGATATTATCAAGACATAACCAAGATGAGTAAATGGCAAGCCAAGATGTTCCCACAGAAAGGCCTGTGGCTGGGCCAGTGCATATAGAATATGGATGCTGAGAAAGTCATAGGTCCTAAAATGGGAAGATCATGGGCCCTAAAGTAGAACTTACCACCATTGTTTAGCTAAACCAACATGATGCCAAACTTCATCCTAAATATTTGTGCTTACACCCATAGACAATTGCTAGTTCCTCCTAATTAAAGAAGTTTCTCTTAGCGATGGATGGCAGTGAATGTAGATCTGTGGCTCATCAAAGTAATAAGAATAAGTGATACTTGAATCCTCAGCCCTAAATAGGACATTTGTACCACTCATCTAAAGCTCAAGGAACACTGTCAAGTTCTGTACAAAGAAAAGGATGTAAGAATCACAAAACAGAAGGAATGTGAAATGCCTTTCAAAAACCATTGTCACACAGAGAGACTTGGTTAAAGTTAGTGAGCTGCAAAACAAAAAAGAAAAAGACATAAATGGGGGACGGCACACATAAGGGCAAGGGTAGTTAATGGGTAAGAGAGAAAAGAGGGAGATAAAAGGCGTAAGTAAAAGTAAACATACATTATATCTGTGTATGAAGTGAGCAAATAAATTTAATCAACTGAAGAAAGGCTAAACATACCAACCAAGGAGAAAAGATCATTAAGAAAGTAACCTAAGGAAGAAATCTACTTGGCCAACACATGAAGAAATCCATGTTGCTCCATGGATTACCTCAGAATGGGGCTGATTACCAGAAAAACTGATCAGGTGATTAGAGGGCTTTGAAACTGCCCAACCATTGGGAATTGAAGAGGTACAGTAGACTGTGGTCAAGCGCACAAAATGGAATATCAACAGGTGAGTGAAAACACAATCCTGATGTGTTCAAGGCTCTGATGCTCAGCCAGGCCTCCTGTTCTTGCTAATGGCCAACGGTGAGAACCTTGAGTAATTCCTTTGTTGTATAGACTGGGCTTCTGATATATTACAACCTCAAAAGCCTAACCTAAAACATACGCTTCTCATAAGGTTCATGCCGTGACTGGGATAATGAAAACAAGACTGTGGAAGGTACGCTACATCCTATGAATTCTGTCAGTGTCCACTATTCTTCCCTCCACAAACAAATCCTTACTGAAAACATCAGTAGTTGGTAGCACTTAATTATGATGACCCAGAATTTATATAGAATTTGTTTTAGATTTCTAACTCACAGCTTCTGAAATTTCTTGAGTGATAAGAGTGTAGTGAGATAATGAGATTCTTTGTTGTTAACTCTTAGATTACTTTCAAGGTTGATTACCAGAAAGACTAATCATGTGATTGAAAGACTTTGACACAGCCCAACCTCTGGAAATGGAAGAGGCATAAGAGACTGAATTCATCCAAATGAGCAATGATTCAATCATGCTTTGTAAGGAAATAGCAATGAAAATTCTGGAACTCTAGAAATCCAAAGCCCTGGAAGTTTCAAGATGGAAAACAAATACAAGTACTTTCTTGAGCCTCTACATCCTGTTCTAGTAAATTATAAACATGGCACCCATGTCTTAGGCATTCCCAAAGCTGCAGCAGCTTGCAGGAGAGTGGGTGTGGCCTGGTGATTTGCCTTTCATTTCTGTTGTTGTTGTTACTGTTTATTCTGTTTTCTTAAACACTTTTATCTTTTTTTATATTTTTATGAATTATTATTATTTAGTGCAATTTATTCACTTTGTATCACAGCTGTGGCCCCCTCCCTTGTCTCCTCCGAGTCCCACTCTTGCTCCCTCTTCTCCTCCAATGCCCCTCCCCAAGTCCACTGATAGGGGAGGTCCTCCTCCCCTTCCGTCTGACCCTAGCCTATCAGGTCTCATCAGGAAAGGCTGCATTGTCTTCCTCTGTGGTCTGGCAAGGCTGTACCCCAGAGGCGGAGGTGATCAGAGAGCCTGCCACTGAGTTCATGCCAGAGACAGCCCCTGCTCCCCTTACTAGGGAACCCACTTGGAGACTGAGTCTATGGGCTTCCTCTGAGCAGGGGTTTTAGGTCCTCTCCATGCATGGTCCTTGTCTCTGCAGGGCACTCTGGGCCCAGGTTTGTTTTTGCTGTTGTTGTTGTTTTTGCTCTGTTGCTCTCCTTGTGGAGCTCCTGTCCCCTCCAGGTCTTTCTATCTCCCCCTTCATAAAATTCCATGCATTCTGCCCAAGATTTGCCTTTCTTTAAGACACAAATACAATGGTCTTGTTGGGCACCAAGCCCTTTAATTTTGTGAGGTCTTGCTAGTTGCAAGTATTTCGTGCCAGAATAAAACTGCAGTATTACACACCTAAGACAGAAGCAACATATGTAGACAAAGAGAAAATGCTGGTATGATGGCAATAATACCTGCTATTTACAAGATCTGTATTTAAAGTACTACACATCAAACTGGAAGTCATCATCTCCATCAATTCTCAGAACTCTCAGACGCAGAAACTTTTACAGTGAAAAATATGCGGTTAAGAGAGACTGAATGATTCTCTAAGACCGATGTGAGAAAGCTAGCACTCAAAACCAGAGCAGAACTCGTGTCTGAATTCTTCATCCCATGATCCTGAGACCATGAAAGTAATGCATTATCAAATACAAATATTGTCATCCTCACAAGTGAAGAACAGAGAACTTTGTTATTCATGATTTGGGTTTTCAAATATCTCAAAGACCATTTCTGACTTGATATTCAGTGTTTGCTAGTGCTGTTGAGAAATATTTTTAGAAGAGTTGGTGCTTCTTCTTACCTTCAGTGAAGTTCAAGGGCAATGTCGTTGAGACAGTGTCTGTAAGCGTTAGTAAGCTCTCTCCACTAACCAAAAAGGAGAGTTCCTCAAATCCAAGGCATGTTCCCCACACAGGAAAATAGTCTCCATTATTATAACTCTTTGGGAGAATGAAAAATTAAGTTAATTCAAACTTTAAATGTCTACACACACACACACACACACACACACACACACACACACACACACACACTGCTTGTTATTACTGCTACACAGGCTTCTGCAGAATTCTCTAGGATTCATAAGTAGACTACCACTAATCTGTACTCAGAAACCCCCAGGCAGGATGGTAGGGGAATTGTGAGCACATTGCGTGTTCCTCCAAGGACCCATGAGGGTTTAATCTAGCTATTAAGTTATTAAGCAACTATCTCAAAAAAGTAGTTGTTGAGGAAAATGTTTAAGTGAGGCTGGAGAGATCTGAGTGCTAGCAACAATAAATGAAAGATTGCCGACAATATTTGTTTGGTGTTAATTGCTTCTCCTCTGAGGCCTGCTTGCTACAAGAAAACACTCTGGTACCCCAAATGACTCTGTAAACTTTTCCTCTCTGTTTAGCCAATAAAATGCAGAAACATACTTGGGCAAGGTGGAGGTGTGGCCAAGGTTCGAGGAGTCTTGGGGATAGAGAGGAAGAGAAAAGAAGGAAGGAGAAAGCCACGATGGGATAGCATGGGAAAGGAACCATGTGGGCCAAGTGGAAGGCCTCTGAGAATGACGTAGAAAGGAGAGATCCTGGTGAAGGATAAGCAAGTGTTTATGGAATTATGGATGGGAGGAAGCCCAATTAGGAATGATTAAAGCAGATGGGATGGGAGCTGGGAGACATGCGCTAGCATAGATGGAATTATCTGCCCAGCCCAAGGTGAAATAAGGCAATTATAAAATCTAACAGGTGACTGTGTCTTATTGATTGTGATAGCGGATTAAATAATAATACTACCATAATTACTACAGGGCTAATAAACATTATTAGCCTGATACCATTTACTTTTAGCAACATATATTTCAGGGGAGAAACAAGGATCTAAGAAGCCATGGCGGAAGTGCAGAATTTCTCCAAGGTTCAAGGTGAAGCATTATATAATAGCAAGGGGCTGTGCCTGGTAAACAGACAAGGCCTAAGATATGTGAAGTGACATTTTCTGAAAAATTCACATCTGTCTTGAAGAGTCTATGGACCGACTGACTAGAACTTTGTTCCTGTGGAGGGACATCATGCTACAGACTGACAGTAGGAATGATCTTGAGCTATCTTCAGCCCGTTTTAATAGACATTTAGCACCCTCTGCACCTGACCTGACATGTTTAGTACTAGTAGGTACAACTTTTGCAGTGCCTTCCCGAGCTTAGCAAGCTTCTGGCTTGCCCAACCCTAAAGCCAAACGTTCTGTGAGCTAGCACCTGAAACTCACTCTTCCACAGTGTCCCACCTGATGTCCTCATCAACTTGGTAAAGTACTTTTTCAATTTTGTTTTGTTCTGTAACTCTTATATTTCACTTGTATTTGGTTCAGAATAAAACCTCTCTAGCAAGAACTGTGTCTGGTGTCAACAGGTGGCTGGAAAAAGGATAAGGCTGGATGGAACAACTAGAAAGTAGACAGTAGCACAGGAATGATACCTAGTACATAATGGGCCAGAGGGGGACATCAGCTTTACTAAGCTAAAAGGGTGTAGTCTATACCTGGAATCCCCAAATTACACGAAACATAAAACCAGCAGTGGAAACAGACACTTGACTCCTGGAGAGCAGATGTCTGACTATGAAGGTGAGGAAGGCTGGAATAACTGTGAAGGAAGTCTTTTAAAGTACTTTGAAAGAGAATCGACCTTATGGAAACAGACAAACCTATCTGAAGGCATAAGCAATAGCAAATATTTACCTCTATGGCTTTGTTGTAAAATATTTTGGCCACATGGGAATAAGATGAATGTAATATGCTGACACCTCCTCCAGGAAAAAGGATTCTGAAACAAAACCAATTGAGATATAAGATGTATTCCACCTTAACCAAGTAAATAAACATTCTTCATTTAAAGAATTTGTCCTTCTAAGTAGTGATGTATACATTTATAATATTCATAATCCTAGACATATAATATTCATATTGTATGTGAATATTATATGAATATACTATATATGAATATATTTGACTCTGTAATACATATAATATATACAAATATAGAATAGTCCATAATCCTTGACATTCAGAAAATACTGTAGTTAATTTTGCACATATTCTCTTAAAACTTATTCAATAAACAAGCTCATTACATGAACAAATCAAACTCAAAAAGAAAGAGAAAGAGAGAAAAAAAACAGAGACCCAAGAGAGTGAAAAGACAAAATTCCAGGTGTGTCTGGCTCTGAATTAAGGTGATCAGCAAAGCCAGGTCAATTATAAGTACACAGCTATTTTAATTCCAAAATAATATATGAAACTACAAAGCACATAATGACCATAACAATAATTTCTATTAGAATTAAATATCTGTAAGAATATGCTTCTTCACAGTGCTGATTATTTCTTAAGCAATAAATATAAAATTAGGAAATCCTGAAAATCAACACAATCATCATCTTAGAAAATATCTTAGAAGAAGCACAAATATTAGATTCTTTCTCTCGGGGCTGGAGAGATGGCTCAATGGTTAAGAGCACTGTCTGCTCTTCTGAAGGACCTGGGTTCAATTCCCAGCACCCACATGGCAGCTCACAACTGTCTGTAATGCCAATTCGAAGGACCTGGGTTCAATTCCCAGCACCCACATGGCAGCTCACAACTGTCTGTAATGCCAATTCGAAGGACCTGGGTTCAATTCCCAGCACCCATATGGCAGCTCACAACTGTCTGTAATACCAATTTTAATAGATCTGATACCTTCACACTAATGCACATAAAATGAATTTAAATAAGTTATTAAAAAAAAAAGAAGCCCAGATTCTTTCTCTCTACCCAAAAAGATGAAATATAGGGGGGAAATTATTATGTTTTAAAATCAGGTCTTCAGAGTAACGTTAAGATTTTGAACTCTTGACTACATCTTGAAATAACAAAGGATATTCAAAAGTGGTCTAGCTTCTATGGTCAATAAAAGTTGGACTACACATATTAAAATTGTAAAAATATTTACATATGAGTTTTAATGGTATACTGACACTATTTTATTTTTTAATTTGCATGTGTATAAGTGGGGGGAGGGTGAGAACAGGCATGTTCTCTCCACATGGGACAGGGAGATGGAACACACTTCACTAGGCTTCTGTGACAGCCATACCTTGAGCTATCCTACCAGCCAGAGGCTATATCTCATTCCATATCAAGCTTCTGTGAATGGGGCTTGGTATCAGCCTGTGACAATGCTAGTTTCCGTTTTTAGGAAACTCACAGTCTATTGGAAAAGACTGAAAAAGCTGTCTGCTAAAACAGCTACCACAAAACCACAGCAGAAAGCCATGGGTGACTGAAGGAGACCAATTAGTAGTCTCTCCCGTTAACTCGGTATTTTAAAAGCTAACCTCTGACCAAATCTGGTCTATGGAATCCTACAGTTCTTTTACAGAGTAAAAGTGGTCTACCACTCCCAGCTGAGAGTCTCCCTTAGGGCAGGCTCCATACTTCATTTGGAGGATATTCTCCCACAAAATAGTGTGGGGTCCACATCACCCAACCTCAGTGAAGGTGTTTTTGAACTTGCATTACTGTACATTTTCGTCCTGTTTCCATTCAGAAACAATAAATTCCATTCAGAAACAACCAATTACAGCCCGGATATCCACCAATCAGAGTCCCAGTTTCAGAGCCTGTGCTGAGAAGAGAGTGCCAGTCTCTGGAAGGAGGTCAGTGACTGGGAAGACGCAGGTGGAGACTCAAAAGGCCTTTCTGGTCAGTTGAAGAGTCATTGCTGGTTTGTCTCCATGATGACACACTGGCCATCAGCCCAACTGCCCCAAGCTGTTCACGCCTCTCTTTGTGATACTACTTCAGATTCTCCAACAGGGTCAGAGGGATGAAGTGATTCAAACATGTATCTGAAGAGTTCTTCCAATGCACTTTGGCCTGGATTTATTTGCCTTTATCTTTACCAAATACTTTGAACCTACTGGGTATGGTACACATTTTCCTAAACTGACCCAGTTGTACAAGAAATAGTTATTGATCCAAACTGAGACAACAGTAAAATTTATTTTTGAATATCACTGCTTCCTACCCTACCCCTAATCAGAAGCAGCTACTGCTAAAATCTGCCTGCTGATAACAGAAACACCAGCAAAAAGAAGGCACCATGGGTGCCACTGTGTGCCCTGAACACCAGAAAGCAGCAGTTTTTCTGTTTTGTTTTTGTGCCTTGCTTTTTTATAACACTGTTGGCACAAGAACAGTGCTTCAAAACAGCATCTACAAACATCTGCGGTTTGAAACTCCTGCATAAGGTACTATTAGATATTCATATTATTAAACACATACAATGATCTCACTGAAATCATTCCCACCCCCACCTACACAGCAGCTTCTACAGTCTGGGACTTTCTGGACAATTGCTTATGATTGGGACTAAGTCTACTCCAAAGTCTGTGCAAGTATTTGTTTATAAGATAAATTTCAAGCTCCCAGAAAAGAATATTTCAAATTCAGAATGCTTGTTTCTTCCCTCTTCCTCACAGTGTATTAGCAAGTTGTCTGACTTCTGCCAACTTGGTTCTAGATTTCTATAATTATACTTTCTCAAGTTAAGAGCAATAATGGGTGTTTTTCATGTGATTTCAAATCCTGATCTGTGGTCTAACTACTCACATATTTTATGGTGAAGCAGGAAAGCGTGTTTTTTTTTTCTTCCTAAGTTCTATTCAAATTACCTTGGAAATAATAAACAGTCTGTAACTTCAAACATAGGGCTTGGAAACTTCAAAATATTTAAGCACTGAAACAAAGATTAAGTTAAAATATAGCAATTACGTTTTTCCTAACTTGCTTCCTATTCAGTATTAGGATTGAAGCTAGAGCATTGTGTGAGCCAGGCTCTACCACTGAGCCGCACTCAGCTCTGATTTTTCCTTTCTTCCTCAGGCTGGTGACTTTCTGCTGTCTGCCTCCCAGGGAACTGCAGTTACAGTCCGGGCTTAAGGTCCAAGACCTCGCCCTGCCTCCCACACTCCACTGGAGCTTTTCACGTTCTTTCAAAACATTTCAACAAAAGCACTTGACACATTATCATCAGACAACTTTTACGAGAGCTCTGTAAAAACATACAGTACTTATATGTACATTTTGCAAAACTTTGATATGTACACATGGAAACGTTGTATTAAGAGTTGATATGGTATCAAGACCACTTACCCATTAATAGATTTGAAAAGTTCTGTATACTCTATATGTGTAAGATCAAGCCTGAAAACAAGAACAATTTTATCAGTAAAACTCAGTTCTGAAGTCGAAGGAAAGCATTAACATTCAAATGAGTCACCGCACTCCTTTTTAAACACCAACTGGAAGGTTAACTATCTGAGGTGCTGCACATTGAATCTAAGGCTTTGCACACTCAGCGCAAGTACTACAGCACTTTTGCCTAAATACCAGGGAACAGTATATCTCTACCTTAGATGTATTCTTCTCAAGCTGTGAAAATCACAAAATTATACCATAGTTAGCTGATCAGAAAGGTAAATCTGTTTTTCCAGGATTTAATGAAATTCAGTATTTTAAAGTAGATGCTAATATACCAAACACTGGACACTAGTTATATCTCTTAGCCACGAAACCTAAAAGTATTCAGCCATTTCATAGAAGGACACATTTTTTCTAAAAGTTTGATAGAGCTGGCGAGACAGTTCATCAATTCAAAGATCTTGGGCTCTTCCAGAGTTGTCCACACTTATGCCACTGTGTAACTCCAGTGCCAGGAGCTCGTCCACCCCCTTGTGGCTTCTGTGGGTATGGCACATACAGCTTTTTTAAAGAATTTTTTAATTTTAATTTTTATTACACTTTATTCACTTTGTATTCCCCCCATAAACCCCTCCCTCCTCCCCTCCCAATCCCATCTTCCCTCCCCCTTCTCCACACATGCCCCTCTCCAAGTCCACTGATAGTGAAGGTCTTCCTCTCCTTCCCTCTGATCCTAGTCTATCAGATCTCATCAGGAGTGGCTGCATTGTCTTCCTCTGTGGCCTGATAAGGCTGTTCCCCCGTCAGGGGGAGATGATCAAAGAGCAGGCCAATCAGTTCATGTCAGAGGCAGTCCCTGATCCCATTACTATGGAACCAACTTGGACACTGAACTGCCATGAGCTACATCTGTGCAGGGGTTCTAGGTTATCTCCATGCATGGTACTTGGTTGGAGTATGAGTCTCAAGAAAAACCCCTGTGCTCAGATTTATTGGTTCTGTTGCTCTCCTTGTGGAGCTCTTGTCCTCTCCAGATCTTACTATTTCCCACTTCTTTCATAAGATTCCCTGCACTCTGCCCAACAGTTAGCCATAAATCTCAGCATCTGCTTTAATAGTCTGCAGGGCAGAGCCTTTCAGAGGCCCTTGTGGCAGGCTCCTAACTTGTTCCCTCTTTTCTCCTTTTTCTGATGTCCATTCTCTTTGCCTTCCTTTCAGTTTACCTACAGGCAGACTGGAAAAATGGAAACAATATGAATGGACACAAAATCCTATCGTCTCATTCCTTCCAACCAGCTGCAAAGGTCTGATTACTACCACACTTAAACTCCAGGACAATCCAGATCTAATGACACACCGCACAGGGACCGGCTCAATTAATTATTCTGAAGCATCTAGATCAAGCACCCTTACAAGGATTTCCCAGCAACTGCTATGATACTGGAGTTTTTATCTCTTTTTTTCTAGAGATAAAAAACCCAAAGAAACTAATCCATGACAACCACTACAACCTTTGCTTCATAGTGTGATGTCTGTAAAAAAGTGTGTGAAATCCTGCAATAACTCTGCAATAATTGAACAGCCTACTATTTCTATAAGACACACACACCCTCTCCATACACACATCCATAAAAGTTTACAATCTTTACTAGAATACACATATTTCTGCCCCAGGAAAAAGATAGAGGAGGACATAGGTCAATTTAGAGCATGGCTCCTGTTGTTGCTAAGTAAGCTCTACTTCCTCCAGCTCTCCTCTAAGTCCAGCAAGCTCAGAATCCACATGAGTTGTTCAGAAATTCACAGTAAACATCTCTCGGGCACAGAGCCACAAAGCATTCAGTGAGACTGCTGCAGACTGACTAAGCTGACAGGTGACTCATATCAGAGTGTTGAAGGCAGAATGTGAATGCACATGTTCTCAGCATCCTGCCAATGCAATCTCCTCAGGTCGTCCCAGCAACCTCAAACCTTCCTCATGCTCCAGGAGAAGCCGCACAGCATAACTGCTGACCAGCTAAATAAGCAGGCACTGTGGCATTTGTGACTGTAGGTTTTAACCCTGTATCTCACTACTAATAGGGCACATAACTGCTGACGGTGGCTTGAAGATTCCTATTTCAAGAAAATGCCAGGAAATATAATCCATGATTTGAACACAGACGGCATCTGCTTATTGTCAGATGTTCTTTTTTTAATTTTTTTAATTTTATTTTTAATTTCTTAACACAAAACCTCCTGTTGGTTTGCCCACTAGAACTATACAGTTAACAGCCTATTGCTGAAGACACCGTTACTCTTTAAATGCAGGATAGAGAGAAATCAAGCTGGAAGTTAGCTGAAAGCTTATCCACTGCTGGTTAGCTTTCATACTGCTAGAAGATAGTATGCAGGTAGCTAGAGAAGAAAAACCAAACCCAGTTGAGAACCTTATGTACTACAAAAACAGCCTGCCAGGCAGCATGTGTCGACTGGTGCAATCATGGCATGGTTGATTTGGAGATAGCCAAATGCTTTCTAATTAGATATGATGCTTTCATAAAGTTCATACTTGGTACCACACACGAGGCCAAAGGTCCATGGCTGGGAGATCATAGGCCCTAGGTGTAAACCTTCTTCTTTTGTTTTACTAAATGGACATATTGCCAAAGTGTCCCCTAAATATCTGTTTGTGCCTACAGACCAACACTGCTCTCAGTCTTTTTATAGTAAATGGTAATAAATGAAGAGACTCATGACCAATCCAGGTGATAAGAATGAGTGACTGCTGCACACCCAGCTGTGAACAGGATATTGCTATCACTCCCCACACCTCCAAAGCTCAGGGAAAGGCTGCCTTCTAGGAATGGCATGGCTGCTGTGCCCGTGAATTCACAGCAGCTGCAGCTGTCTGCTCAGAGCCTGCACAAGCCTGGGCTAATGAACATTCAGTTAAGGACAGAAAGGGCCTCTTAGGGTCTCATCCTTTCCCTGGGAACTACTGGCAGGTACAGTCGCCTAGGGACAGGAAGTCACTGTCTTCAGTGGTGTGGCTACTACTGAGTTGTCCAGTGGCCAGTGGCAAGCTCCACAGAATGTCCACACTGGTTAACTCAGAGGGTTACAAAACAAAAACAGAAAAGACGTGAATATTGGAGGAGGGTTCACTTTGATCAGAGGGCAGTTCGCAAGGGTGGAAGATAGGAAAGCATAAGGCTGCTTAAGACATCATACAGGGTGGTTGCAGGACACAAGGAAATAGTCTTGAGCCCACCAGGAAACCCTAGCTTTCCTAGTACAGGAAGATGCTATGCCCGCTGCTGGGGTAGAGAAGGCACCAATGCTCTTACCTAGCACTAGACCCTCATGATGAAATACAGATGTGCCGAGAAAGAGGCTCCCGCTGGCCCAACAGTGGCCAGACTGCCTGTGAGAATAGCCAAGCACAAAACTTGCACAAGGTCAAGCCAGTTTAAAAACTTCTGGTGGATATGAGGGCCTACCCCTCGCTGGGGAGTTACTAACAATTGATGGCTGCTGGGAGAGGAAGGTTAATTTTTCTCCTGGGATACAGCCACTGGTGGTTTGCCTATGCCCCAATGGATATGGATATAAGCAGCTAATTAGACACACTGGCTGAAAAATAAATATTTTTAATGGGCATGAAGTTGAAGGGGAGATGTGTTTGGGGTAGGAGGTAGTACTAGAGGGAGGTGGAGGGGAGAGTGAGTAAGAACAAGATGCATTGTACACATATATGATATTTTCAGAGAATAAATTTAAAATACTATTTTTAAAAAGTATAGGCATGAGTGTGATCATAATATAGTATCCTGTATGAAACTGTCAAAGAACAAAACAAAAACCAAACAAAACCCCTCTGAAAGGTTCATAAGAAATAGTTTCCTCTCTCCATAATCCAATCCAGCAATGATGGCACAAGGTTGGCTTCAGCAGCATGAAAAGCCATGAAGAGAGAAGCACTTTTCCCACTGAAGATCAGACCTACATTACTATTTTGGGGAGCCAAACCATCAGTCTTTTACATACTCTTCTGACTTGTGCATGTTAAAAAATATTTTAAATGTTTTGTACGAACTGAAATTATTCTTAAAATAGACTCTGCTGGCTCAGGCTGCTGGGTTCTACCTTTCAGGAACCCTGTGTTTTCCAACAGCCCAACCGTACAAAATGGCAACCTGAAAGCACCAAGTCCTGGGAAAGAAGGTACCCAGAAGAGCAGGGTGAAACCAACGTCAAGCAGCAGCCACAGCACAATTCTACCCAGGTCTCTTGTGGACCTTCTTCTCCACTCTGCACCAACAAGTTGCCCCAGCAACCAAGTTCACAGTAATGCTGCAAGAGTCTCCTCATTTTACACGTAGGATTTCCCTCCTATAGATTACACTGTTTCTATAGGATCACATGATTCCAATTTCAAGCAATAAGTTTCTAAGTGAACTCTAATACCAAAGTTGGAGTTTAGCCTACGTGCTGTCAACCAGGTTTTCAGCTGATTGACATAAATGCTAATATTCTACAGGTCATTTGGTTTCAAAACTTCCTTGGTTTCAAATTGCTCAAGCTTCCAAACTTCTCCCTATTTCTTCCTCTGCAACCTCATATTTGATGAGTCATTGTTTTTTTCTGATTTTTTTTTTAAGGACACGTACCTAGCAAGCCATAACTGCTGCTCAGTGCCACTCTCTCTTTCATTTCCCAGCCAGAACTCTCCAGAGGCCTCTGAACCCAGCTGACTGCTGCGCTGGCTCTCCCCCACGCTTGCACTAACCTCCTAAATAGCTTGCATTTAAAAGTTCCATCTTCAAAACTATGAGACACTGTGCTGGAGACCCTCAGAGACCTCTTCCTCAGATCTAAAACTTGAGTATATAATTTCATATGAGATTCAGTTCACTACTAAAAAATTAAACATTAATCTTAGGGGCACAGACAGTTAATCAAATGTGAAAGGTGTAACAAGACAATCTTTATGAATCTCAACATGAGGACTATGTTTTCGAAAAACTATAAATCATACTTACAATTTATAATATTACATTAGTAATATTATATAGAGTATAAGAAAGTCTGTAATTATTTGCAAAATAGGTTGTAATAGCTATGTTTTGTTTATAAAATTTCATAACAGCTTAGGTAAGAGTTCTAAGAGATCCTGCTGACAATGTAAGTGCTTAAAAGATTTTTGTTCATTAACCCTTTTTAAGTGAAAATGTTGATGAAATCAATCCCTTCACACTGAAAGTATGAGATTAATCATATTATTTGTACTGAGCCATATCGTTATAAATGTTAGCACCTTTATAAAGGTTTCTTTTGACTTTTATTTCTTTCTCTCTCCCTTCCTCTCTCCTCTCTCTGTCTCTGTCTCTCTCTCTCTCTCTCTGTGTGTGTGTGTGTGTGTGTGTGTGTGTGTGTGTGTATGTATGAGTGAATGTTCATTTCCTGTGTGTTGGATCTCAAAGAGCTAAAGTTACAAGTGGTTGTGAGTTGCAGGTAGCCAAACTTTTGGTCCCCCGGAAGAACATCAAGTGCACTTAACGACTGATCCATGTCTTTGACCCCAAACTTAATGCCTATAAAATTGCAATACCTGCCGTTTACTCTAAAGCAACACTAATACAGTCATTCCTGACAAGCTATACAAGATGTAAAAGCATATTCATAGTCATCTTCTAAAAAAGTCTCTCTCATTCCCTAAGTGTTCCCTTACGATAGTCCTAGGTAGAAAGCTAGCTAAATTGGATTCCCTGTTACAGTTTTTTATGGTATCTGTGAGGAGTGTCTTTTCTGGGGTGAGAGACGCTATCATGTCTTTCTCAGTGATGACAGACATCACATTGCATATTCTCAATGACATCACAGACATACAGAGCTTCATAAACAATTTAGTGGAAGACCGTAGGCAACAGATTTGTGGCTGAAATGAGATGCAATATCACAACTTTTAATGATGCAATCACAGGAAAGAATGTATTAATTTAAAGACAAAACACTAATCTTTACACGCATGGTGAAAGCCACCGAAACATACCTTACAGGTACGACTCTTGCACCTGCAGACTCTAAATACTTCACATAGGATGCAGCAATGTAGTATTTTCCTAACTGTTTCATTTCCTTCGTACGACAGTGTTGCATTAATATTCCTAAATTCAAAAGAAAAGGCTTTAGTTTCAAGCAGATGCATTTATTTCTTCCTCAGAGCTGAATCACAGCACACTACAAATGTCCCAGTTTTGCTTCTTGGTTCCCAGACCTGCATCTCCTGCAAGTCTGCCCACAGTCACTGGGAACACAGTGGAGAAGGGGGATCTGAGTTTTTACCACACCATGAATGTTTCAGAAGCCCCCAAAGTAAGTTTATCACAGCCCCAGCTTTCTGCATAGAACCTTAGACTATTCAAACACAACTCACTAAATGCATAAAGTACAAAGCCTTTTCCCACAAAGACACAGATGCACCTTGTCAGCAAAGCCAGAATAGAAATAATCTTCAGCTCCATCTTTTCTAATAATATCATAATTAAAGCAACCAGCATTTGCAAGTCCTTCCCAGACAATTAAAATCCTCTTCCTTTCTTAAGAAAACCTCCACTTACAGTTTATCCACAGAAATCGCACTGACTACTTCACCATTCCCTTGTTCATTCGATATTGTTTAATCAAACTGCATGCCAGGCACTGAACTAGGTTCTGAGGACACAATAATAAAATAAAGGGAAAAAAATCTCCATCTTGTAGGCTTTAGTACGAGGAGGTGGGAGAGGAAAGAGGTAAGACAAACAACAGAGATGTATTTTTAGGGCCAATTATGATGACTGGTGCTTGTGTTAAGAAGTCAATGAAATGGGTGTTCCATTTACAATGCCTCTTAAACAGGGTGGCAAGTCTCCCAGGGAAGATAGAACAGAATTCCAGAGGGGTGGAGCAGGGAAGGTGTAATATGACACTTAATCTAGGGCAGCAGTGAGGTGAGGCAGTGAACCACCCACCCACATTTGGAAGAAAAGCAGTTCAGAGCAAAGGAACAGTCCCATGCAAAGGTCATGAGGCAGCCTGTCACTCTGCAAAAAGTCCATCAGACTGGAAGCATGCAAGAGAAAGCAAGAAGGCAACAGTTAATGGTGCAGAGAGTGGCAAACATGCAGGGGCTACCATCTTCACTACATAGCTCAGTGGTGCTACACAAGCTCTGTGCCTTCATGTTCTGTCCATTCACCTCTCTCATCTCCCCTCATCAATGAAACCCAACATACACCCAAGCATGTCATCAGATGCTTAGCATGTGCAAAGTCTTGGGTCCATCCCTGGCCTACAAAAATTAAACGACAATAGTTGTGCTCACTAACTACCTGTGCCTCTGTGAGTATGAAGCTTTAACTGTATCAGTGGGACACACCCATCATCTATCTTAACCACATCTGTATTGTCAGCTTCTTACAATAGTTGACATGGACCACTATAAAATATCAAATGTCAAAATGTATCTAGTAAGACTGTTTCTCTCCTCCGCATTAGGTAAGGTGGTCTTCAGAATGGAAAATCGAATCTAACCAATTTCCAAAAAAAGAATACCAGGTGTCACAGGAAACAGTGATGTAAAGGCAGGAGGGGCGATGCCACCAGGAAGGCATGCAGAATCATGGAAACTAAGTGTCTGTAGCAGTAAGCTGATCCCACCATCACACCAAAGCCATTCATTTCTTCTCATTCTGAAACAAAAAGCTCAGATTGTGTGCCCTGTCCTTCAGCATGTGCCCCAAATGATGGCATTTGTACTTGGGTATCTCATAACTTCTGGGGCTTGTCTTTGAATATTCTGTGCTTCCAGAAGTAATAACTTACCTATACTTTTTATTTTTAAAATTTATTTATTTATTTTTATTAATTACAGTTTATTCACTTTATATCCCAGCTGTAGGCCCTTCACTTATCCCCCCCCAATCCCATCCTTCCTCCCTCATCTCCTCCCATGTCCCTCCCCAAGTCCAGTGATAGTCCATCTGACCCTAGCCTATCAGGTCTCATCAGGACTGGCTGCATTGTCCACTTCTGTGGCCTGCTTACCCATACTTTGTGCTCATTCAACTACATTATGCTTAATTGATTCAGGAGAGGGGACTTCAAAATGGCTAAGCAATAGGTAAAAGCACTTGCTGTTGAGTCTGAGGACCTGAGTTCAAGCCCAGGATCCACATGGAGAAAGAGAATTGACTCCTGAAGTTGTCTTTTGACCTTCATAAAAGAAAAATGTGATTGGATGTGGTTAACCAAAAGCATCATCGTTTTTTTTTTTTCCCCATATTCAACTTAGAGCAACAACAATGAATCTTCTGTCATCTTTTCTGTTCACTAGACCCACAAATGCAATTCACTACATGTTACATGATTCAACTTGAAGAATCTAACCATTAATGAAAATTGCTTTGGAAGAAGGATTCCAAATATTAGTAAGCAACCCATTTAAAAACCGGGCTACTCCATGGCAGGTCAGTCTCCAAGTGGGGTCCCTAGTAAGGGGAACAGGGACTGTCTCCGACATGAACTCAGTGGCTGGCTCTTTGATCACCTCCCCCTGAGTAGGGAGCACCCTGACCAGGCCACAGAGGAAGACAATGCAGACAGCCCTGATGAGACCTGACAGGCTAGGGTGAGAGAGAAGGGGAGGAGGACCTCCCCTATCAGTGGACTTGGAAAGGAAGGGGCAGGGAGGAGATGAGGGAGGGAGGGTGGGATTGGGAGGGAATGAGAGTGGGGCTACAGCTGGGATACAAAGTGAATAATAATTAATAAAAAAGTTATATTAAAAAAAGAGTGGCAGTGCATGCCTCTGATCTCAGCACTTGGGAGACAGAGGCAGATGGATCAGGAGTTTGAGTCTAGCCTGGGGTGCATGAGAGACCCTGCCTCTAAAACACAAAAGAGGAGAATAAGCAGCAGGCTGTTAGACAGCTGAACTTGAGCCTGTTTAAATTAAGGAAACTTGTTTCTTCAAGCACTTCAAGTAGCAATTCTGACAGTGAAGTTAAAAAAATAATATAGTTAAAGAGTGAAAAAGCAAGTTACCAGGGAGGAGAAAAAAATATGGTAAAGAAATGAAAAGCTGGGGGAACTGAGATCTGTGGTATCTTCCAAGCATAGAAGCAGAGCAGGAGTCACACACTTCAGATTGGGGAATGAAGTGCAGCAGAGTTCAGGGCGCACTGGAAGGTTATGGGTACGGCAGAGCTTGGGGAGTAAAGAACGGCTCTGATTGCTAGTAGCAAATATCAGGTGGATCTGGAGGCAAAAATAAAAGCAGGAAGAAAAGACATTTACTTAAATCCAGAGCAATGGAAGCGGTGGAAGAAACATTTCTGGTAATTTGATGCAGTGAGAAACCCACAAAGGGGCTAGAGGGATGGCTAGGTGGTTAAGAGGGGGGGGACTGCCCACAAAGAGGAGCTGTGTGCAGCCTCCAGCAACTCCAAACTGCCCGAAGAATATCCCCACCCAGCCAAGGGTGGTGGTACACACCTTTAAGCCCAGCACTGAGGAGGCAGAGGCAGGTCAGTCTCGGAGTAAAAGGCCAGTCTGGTCAACAGAGTGAGTTCTAGGACAGCCAAAAACAGGCAGAAAAAGAAGAGGAGGAGGAGGAAGAAGAGGAAGAGGAAGAGGAAGAAGAAAATTCCCACATTTTATCTCCATGGACAACTGTCCTTGAATGCACACACCTCCTCAAAGACAAACACATACACACAAAAAAAATGAAAAATAAATTTAAAGAAAACTGTAAAATCTGAGCTGTGACAAACCTGTGCTATTCCCATGCTTTATATCTACAAAAAACCTCTTCAACCATTAAAAAAGTAAACAAAACAACAAAAAAAAAAAAAAAAAAGAAACGGGCTACCTCTGAATACATAAAAAAAAGTTTCTAGTTTCTGTTTAGTGCTAAGCTTCAAGGAAGAAACACACACATATCATAATCCTACATACATCTACCCATAAATTTCTTTTGTCAAATTTTAACTACAGGCTGATTTTTCCTTGACAGGTTTTCAAATGTTTGACATGAATGCAAACCAATTTTGCCCTGTTTGAAGCACAAAAATGCCAGGGACAATCACATACTTTACTTGCAATAGAACTGACATTCAGCACTTGCATTGCTTACCTATATTTTTATTTTCAGTGTGTTGTATCTTCAACTATGTTTTCGACCAAAGCTATGTAAGTTTAACCCATGTGCAGAATTTCTGGGATAGGAAAGGCAGGGAAAATGGTGGGGACACAGGATAGGAAAAGCACCCTTCACACTGAAGTCTGACTGAATCCTCTCACCAGCCAACACTCAAGAGTAAATTAACATTTTTAATTAAATTTTTATTTTTTTACATTAATTACATTTTATTCGCTTTGCATCCCAGCTGTAGGCCCCTCTCACATTCCCTCCCAATCCCACCCTCCCTCCCTCGTTTCCTCCCATGCCCCTCTCCAAGTCCACTCATAGGGAGGTCCTCCTCCCCTTCCATCTGACCCTAGTTTTTCAGGTCTCATCAGGACTGGCTGCACTGTCCTCCTCTGGGGCCTGGCAAGGTTGCTCCTCCCGGGGGGTGGGGGTGTCAAAGAGCCAGACAAAAAGTCTTTTTCTTTTCTCTGCAATTTTCTAGGTGTTTCGCTGAAAATGACATTTACAGTAAAAGGCATATCCTAACCTTTTGTACATCCCTAGTAGCTCCTGGTTTTATCTTATCCAAGGCATCTCCGCATCCTCCCTATAATCTTAATAATCATTACGGAATAGGGGAACAGGAATAGAGTGAGATCCCGTGGAGACCTCTTGGACTATGAGGTGGAGTCACCTCTAGCTCGCACCATGCTTCCTCCTGGGCTCTGTTCTTCACCTGAGCGCCTGTCTTCCCACTTTCGACAAATCCCCGCTCGGCTTCCCACTTGCTCTTCCTGAAATGCTTTTCTGCACGGAAGCCTCCTATGCTAGGTCTGCCTGGACTGTGCTTCCTAAAAACTACGGGACGCCGTAGGCTGCTTCCAGGGCCAGGAGGTGGCGTGGAGCTGAGCCTTCATCCACACCGCGGAGCCCGCGGACCGCCCCTCCTCGACACCTGCCCGCCACCGCGGCGGGACCGCGCCGCCGTCCTTACCGATGATGGGCTTCTCGGAGGCGGGCTCCTGGGGTCTGGACAGCCCGGGGCTCGCGGACCCGCAGAGCAGCCAGGCCAGCACGCACAGCAGCCGGCCCAGGCTCGCCATCACGCCCTCGGCCGCGCCTCCG